AGCATCCATAACATTCCAGAAGATCCCAACATTTTAAAGTTCTCCCTGCTCCAAAGATGATTAAATTTATATTAAGAGTAGATTATAATCTGTTTATTTTAGTCAGCTCTAAATTTGATTTTAAGTTACTTGCAATTGCTTCTGTTTCTGTGTGCATCTGTATCTCATTTATATGAATCGTATTTTTTGGGGGGGTGGGGATACATTTCATACCAGTTTGCATGCATTTTTAAATTGTTGACTATCTAGAAAATATACTGCAATTAAAAAGAAAAGCATTCTGATATAATACCCTTAATATTATGAGGAGAAAGTCTAGATATTCTACACAGCACCCAAGCCACAAATAAAAAACAACTTATATTGAAGAATTAAATGCTAAAATTATCTGTGCCAAGACCATGTTTTCCTATTCACCTATAAAATCATCCAACTATAATTGTGTCAATATAATAACACTAGTGAAGACAGGTATTATGTCCTCAGTGATGGCTGTGTGAACCTAGAAAATAAATTACTAGTGGGGAAAAGGTTCAAAGCTGCAATTTAAATAAACTTAAATATCTGGAAAGGATGGAACTATAAAACAAATGGAGTTCATAGAGCAGGATTACCCATTGTTTAACTGTGGTTTATTGACTAAATAACAGCCAATTAAAGCATATTGCAGTTTACAATCAGCAATGACTGGATTTATAGAAATGTGCTAACATCTTCTGGCTAGGAGCTTCTCCAGGCATGTTAACATCCTTCTGTCAAAGGAGCTGCACCTGCAAAATCCTGATGGGCTCTGTAGAGAAGTTTGAATGCCTGCTATGAAGGCATTTGTATTCAAGATCTTTTCATGTTATTCTGTATTTATCCCCAAAGGAAATAACTCTAAAAGTATGCTGCATATTAAAAATAATTTTGAATGTTTACTTTTGTTTTTGTTTTTGTTTTTTGAATTTTTTTTAAATTTTAAAACAAAACTTAAAACATAAAACAATTATCATTCATTATAATTACAGAAAGTGTATTGATCGGTTACAAATCTTTTGTGCTTAATCCTCTATCCAACATTTTCTTATTTAACAGTTTATTACATTATTATTCTCATTTACCAATTATTTGAAGTAGCATATCTTCCATAAGGGAAATAAACACCTCTTTATATGTTTTATTATTTTATCCATTTCATGTTTCATATTTCATTTCCATGCTTTCTTGTCTAACCATTGATAAAATAAATCCCATATCAAATAATATTGTTTATCTTTTTGTTCCCTAATTTCAAATGTCAATTTACTCATTTCAGCACACTCCAAAATTTTCTTAATAACATCGTCATCCATAGGTATCTTCTCTCCTTTCCAGTTTTTAGCAAATACAATGAATGTTTACTTTTGTTATTGCAATGTTTTCACTCCATTTTTAAAAACGTGCCAATACAATATTAGCAGAAGTTCTGAAGCAGAATAGAAAATCAATACAAATACTCAAAATGCAATCAGAATAACATAGTTTAGTTCATGAATGACATGCATTTTGAGTTATGTCCATTTATAACTGCTGGAGAATAACCAAGGATTAGTGTTTCAGTTTCACAACTCAAATATGTCTATGCAGTACATATTATCAGTGTGGGCTATAGGCATTATACTTTAACTTAATTAATCCATAATTAATCTGTTAAAAAAATTACCATAATCTCTGCTGATGGTCACTAATTTGGATGGCTTTAAAAGAGAATTGGAGAACAAGTCTCTTAAGAGCTATTAGTCTTGAAGAGTCAGTGCTACCTTACAACGAAGGCAGCACTCTTTAATATATCAGGTGCAAGAGGACAATTGGAGAGAGCTGCATCTTCATGTTCTTCTTAGCATCCCAGGTACTAAAATGCTTTTGGTTGGCCACTGCAAGAAACTGAATGCTGAACTGAAAAGACCCTCAACCTGATCAAAACTATTACATTCTTAACCACAAGTCTTAGATCATAATGGTACATGAATGGATAAAGGAATACAGACAGACATGCCTGTGACAATTCATGTGTAAATGCTTTGGGTATTTCTAGATGATCTTCGACTTGCTTTATTTGTAGAAATTGAATTTGTCTCTGACTAACACCATACCTGGTTTTCTTGTTTCTCCAGTCTTTTCTCTTATAATAACCACAAAGAGAGGAAAGGCAAACTTGCTGCCCAATGCCTTTCGATTGGCATTGATTCTTGCATCTGGATTGATTGATTGAAGATCAATTGATTTATATTATTTGTTACTATTTTCACTTTACTGCTCATTTATTTTCTTCTTCCTTTCTTCTTTTTCTTCCCCCTTCAGCATAATTTGGAGCAATGGACTAAAGAATAATATCAGCTATGACAAGAATTGCATAGTTAATCAGTAGGAAAAAAACTACATGTTGTTCATGTATCTTATTTTTAAAAATAGAATAAAATTTTAGCATCATTTTAGCTCATATGCCTTTTTTAGAAAAATATAAAGTTTATTGATAGAATGAGTGTATGAAAAAAGTTTACAATTTTAGGTTAATTTTAATCAATGGCTTACTTGTCAGTATGGACAGTGGCCTTCTAGTCAATATAAGTTAATAATTGTACTACAGACTTTGAAAAATGGAGACTGGGAAACCAAAAAAGTGGTTTGAGGGGAAAGGGACAGAAGAAGGAGGAAGGAATAAGGACTGCACCCCTACAACTTCTCTTCAGAGTATCCTCTCCTGCCATTGCATTTCTGACTACACTGGAAATCAGGACTTTTTTATATAAATGGATGTTCAATTCTGTACTATGCAGGTTACTATTTGCACATTGTATAGGGCAAATGGAGTTAAGGTGGGGATGAGGAGAATAAAACTTTCTGACGAGTAAAACGTGCAAATATTTCTCTAATTAAAGCATGCACTTAGAAACTTGCAACAGATAAAACAAAATATCAATACATACTTTGTGTCAAATATTGATAGCTGAGGACTGGGATATTTTACCGAGGTAAACTAAAAAAAATGGGAACAAACCTGTATGAATTAGCAATGATTGCTACGATTATCTGCAAAAGCAATCTCATTTCTGCATAAAGGGGAAGAGGCTTGGGCATGATAGTCAAGCAGTGGCACCCATAGAAACCACATTGACATTAAAATGATGATATATATGATGTGGTCATGCAAATGCTTCCAAAACCATCAGTTTAAAATAGTAATGACAGTTTATTAAGAGCATAAATAGCAAAAAAGTAACACGGTGTTAGGTTTAAAGAAAGAAAATAGGCCATGTGGGAACAAATTATAATTGGATAAAGCCAGCATGAGAAAGTAAATATGCCTGAAAGAAAGGTTTCTGTACTTATTTATATCTTGCCTTATTTATTTTTATAAATAACTCAAGGTGACGAACTTATCTCACTTTTCCTAATTTTACGGCAAAGATTTTAGTTAAGTACATAGAACATAAAAATGGATCCTAATGTAGGGTCATTCTATTTAGGTAGAAATAGCAGGCTTTACCTAGAATTTCTATGGGGCTAGATTCCTGCCTATATCTTGGAAGTTGGAGGTTTAGAATCCAGCTTCCCCCTTCCAGGCCTGCTCTCCAGCCAGCTGCTATTCCAAGGAAAACTTCAAAAGAGAAAAAAGTTGTTCAAACTTTTCTCCAGAAAATATATTATGGGTATTTTCTGACATGACAGGATTCTAAGAACATCAGTGGTCATAGTGCCCAATGCAGCAACATACATAAAATGGACTCTTTTTACAGTTTAAATTTTTTTAAAAAACCCATTAATGCAGTCAGTCATATGGACATTGCTGGATGTCAGCTACTGAAGGGCTGAACTGACATCAGTGTCTGTCATTCATATGGATTAACAGGACTACAAAAACTTCAAGATTCTATAATGACAATCATATCTAACAGTTGCAGAAATTAATTTGTTTTGGATCAGCATCCCCCTGCTTATGTTTGTGACAGATACTTTGGTGACAATTGTCATTCCTGATCATTTGGTAGGTTGGCTATGGATCTGTAGTTAAAAAGATTGTGAAGGTGCCACATTGCACCTGGCTATTTTGTCATCCTTCTGTAGATTATTTATTTATTTTATTTTATTTTATTTTTATACCACCCTTCTCCTGCGGGACTCAGGGTAGTATACAGCCGAGATAAAACATAGCATATAAAATTTAAAAACAGTTTAAAAAACAATTAAATAATTTCAGCCCAATAATTTAAAACAACCCAATTAAAACCGAATTCAATTAAAACTGAGAGGATGGGATCAAGCCAGCCTGGCTAGATGGAATAAATGTGTTTTCAGGGCCCGACGAAAAGTCCGGAGGTCTGATATCGTGCGTATCTCAGGGGGTAGGTCATTCCAGAGGGCAGGTGCTGCCACAGAGAAGGCTCTCCCCCTGTTTAGTTTCTAGTGAGTCTTCTTAAATTTACTGTACAAAACCATATCCCGTGGAAAATGGATCATTCACTAGCAAGAGAGCACTTTTCTCTTAGTTTTGCACTGAAGTTACATGACAGTCCCAATTCTTATTTTTTTTTTGTACTGTACTAATTTCCATTGCTGTTTTATATTGTTTTCTCACTTAACTTCCTTTTTTAAAAGATGATTTTATATTTGTATAAAATACTGTTTTTTTAAACAGAATGGAATCATATGGTGAATATTTTATATTAGCTTCTTAAACTGGTAGAGGCACTTTAGTAACACAAATGTTCATATGCACATTTTCTTAAGCTACAGCATATATTTCTAAATAAATAATTCTGCAACAGTGGAGCCGCTCTGTATCTTGCTGAAGAGCACCAGAGGGCAAGAATGCTAGATTTCTCTGCTGCCATCAACTGATTGCTTAGATATTTGCAGAATTCCAAAGTATGATTCATAATTTCAGAAGCTGGAAAAGTGTAAAAGATCAGGAAACTTGTAGCTTTCAGTTTGAAAAACATGGAAATAAAGACACTAATATTAAAAAAAAAAAACCTCAATGGTTTTAATTGTTTATTATCAAAATCTATTAATGCCTATAGCAACATAAAGGATATATTTGGCCACAAAGATAATTTGGCCATAAGATGTAGCGCTGATTGAATGATGCAAATCTCCAACACCAAGCTGCTTCTTTGTCGCACTGGCAAATTATGTTTTGACATCTGTTTAGAGCAGCATCTGAAAAAAAAGGAATGAAGAAGATACTACTGCTGGTTATGATGAAGTAGAGCACAAAAACAAAATAGTCCTGCTTATCTATGAAACTAGCATTTATTAAGATATATACGGTAATCTTAAAAGATAAAGGATTGTTCTGTATGAAACTTTTTTGAACACCTTAAAATGGTTAAAATGAAATTCATACTGCTTGAAGGCCATTTTGGACATTTAAAAAAATCATGATTGGGGATTAAAGATTTGGCTGGGTGTAACAAGTATGCATTCACCCACTATATCTTACAATTACATAATACGTATTTATCAAGGTGAAAACAATGCATTGTACACTCCATGTTCATTTTTATTTATTAAGCCCTATGTCACAAATATTAAAACAAATATTTTTCTAGGCCCTTCTGTGAAAAGTCAGCTTAAAATTTAAGAAACAAGAAAATCTAAACTTAGTAATATGAAGTATGAAAATGAAAACACCTCTTTCACTAAGTAGGCAAAGGATTTTAAGCCTTGCTGCTCTTCTGTACTCTGAGGTAAAAAGCTGTAAAAAGCTGTAATCCACAGTCATGATACTCTGTGACGAATGATGGTACAGTGGTTAGAATGCAATATTGTAGCTAACTCTGCCCACAGCCAGCTCGATCCTGACCAGCTCAAAGTTGACTCAGCCTTCCATCCTTCCAAAGTCAATAAAATGGGGACCCAGATTGTTAGGGGCAATTTGCTGACACTGTAAACAGCTCACGGAGTGCTTTAAAGCACTATGGAGTAGTAGATAACTCTACTAAGTGCTATTGCTATTGCTGTTATAGTGGTTGATGATCAAGAGCTGCCCTTTAGATTTGAGAAGTGTCCAAGAACAAGGGCCACAGTAGGCAGGGCACTGGATAGGGCTGGGGTTTTGCAGAGTTTACAGGATTGGTTTGTTTTTTTAAAAAGTTCTGTTCAGCGTATTTTTAAGTGTACCCTACAATTTCAATATTTCATGAACCTCAAAGAAACAACACTGTATCACTATTTAGCCATCACAATCAAGTGGTGGCTACAATGAATGGCCTGCATCCCTAAAATCACTGGATTTTGCCCACCTGTGTTTTATGAATTGCAACGTATAAAAATCTATAGCAATTCAACACTGTTTATTCATAACACTGTTAGAACAGTGTTATGAATCTTCCAAGATCTCTGAGAAAACCAATAGGACCTTCTGAAATTAAAGCTGAATTTTTCATCTCTAGAACATCTGTATGTACTTGTGCCTCTCTGAGATAAGGTAAATAAAAATAAGGACATTCAAGTTGTACCTTACCACATATCACAGTATTGTCCTGACAAGTCCACTTATATCTGTCTGTTATGGGGTTACAGCCTTGTCGTTGTGCAAAGTCATAACAGCAGTCATGTCTATGGCAGCACCTTTCAGCAACAGAGAATAATTAATACCATTGATATGAGCCTTGAACATCAAGCAGTATGTGCAGCACTGTGAAACTCTATCTCTAGTTTTACAGTGCTCTGGTGCGTGCGAAATTTACAAGCCCTGTCAAGTACTTCCATGAAGCTCAGTGCAGTCTGGATATTTTAAGTAAGCGTTTCTCTGAAGTCTCTTAGGAAAACACAGCAATTGTGGTTTGATGTTCACAAATACATATTGTCTATATATGTAGGGTGAAAACGTTAGTAATAATTCAAAATAAATACTTTTCTAGTTCCACTGCAAGAAGAGATCACATGGTCATACCTTTTCTCTACTGCATTCTCAATTTAGCAACATTATTCTGTCATCCAGAATAATAAAGAACAGGGTTTGTACTAATCATATCATGTTACTCTTCCGAGTACTCACAGTTATTTTGTTACATGCTCTTCTTTTTTTAATTACATTATACTATTATTTTTCCATATGTTCTTGTCTCAAAGTAAATTTGGCCTCATTTAAAATGTATTAGACAGAATGGGATTAATTCAATTGAAGAGTGTAATGGAAATATGAATTTAATAGATAAAGAAGTGGTGTACGTACCAATCTGTTTCATCCTTGGGCCAACCTCTTCCTCCTGGACCACAATAGCATCCGTAACCTACATAGGCCAAAGAAAATCGGCTTGTACCACATTTTAGGGTTCCGTATAATTCAATGAGTCCTCTTTTATTCACAAAATGGTTTTTTCCAAGAACACCATTCCATACTGCAAAGGCAGAAATTAAGATTTTACTGCATTTGAGTAGGTCCGACTCCATACAATAATTGCTTTATCTCTTTTTACACAATCTGCTTCTGCATTAATATATACATTATATCTGCATTAATATATACATTATATCTGTGTTTGGCTGGAGTGTTGGGTAGCTGTTAGAAAGTAGAGGAAGTTTAGATTAAATTTTGGGTTGCTGTACCCCTCAATATTGGTCAAGGCTTCAAGCAAGCCTGCATGAGGAAAGTTGCACAGCAACATTGCTATTTTGGAGGAACCAACTTCTTACTTTCCATGCAATAGCTTTCAACAAACTTCCTTCCTGCACTAGATGATGAAAGATGAACAGGGCTTTCAAGGCACTCCTTATAGTCTATATGAATATACTGTTTATCTTGCAACATTTGCTATGAACCCTGTGCATTGATTTTAGTCTGTACAGGTGTCAAGAAATATGAAAATTAAAACCATGTTGGGAGTACAGCAAATGAATGAGAAACACAACAAAGTAGAAAGGACAAGCTTCCAACTTCCTGATTTGAATAGAATTCTTTGCCATTTATCTTGGGCACATTTTCAAGACAAAAACAAAACTCCAAACTGAAGAACTGTTTTAAAATTTATTTGCTTTTTTTCGCCCAGGAGATTTCTTGACTCTCTAATATGCATGCCTGAAAATATCATATTCTTTTTTTATTACACAATATTCAACCTTAACTATAAAACTAAAGACAAATATGTGACTTTGTTGTAAGAAGAAAATTAAAAACTTAGTAGCGATTGCAACTTCTGAGTCATAACAGGCAGACATACACTTAAACAGAAACAATCTACTTCTACTTCAAATATATAAACATTAAAGCATATATGTGTGTGTATGTGTGTGTGCTGCAGAATTCCTCAAGTCACAGAGAAAAAAGTCTAACTCATCGATAGAAAAATACGAATGGGTGTGTATAGAATCTCAGACCCTAGAAAAAAAATCTTTCAATAGAAGTTTATTGAAAGAATTACATCAACATTAAGATAAACAAAGTGATGAATTATTCAATCTGTAAATATTTACAGATTGCAAATCACAGCTTTTGGCCCCAAAGAAATTAAAAAGAAACTAAGGGTGAATTTCATCTTTTTTTATTGATTCCTGCCACCCATCAAATTCAAAACCAAGTATCATTTCAAAATGGTTTCAGTCACATTTTATAATCTTAAGTGTGGTTTCAAAATTGGCTATTGTGTTACAGTATTTATTCAGCAAGGCAGTTTTGCTAAAACCTTAGAAGTTTAAGAATGCACAGAAAGCCTTGTATTTTCTTTGTGTTTTCATGTGACGACAATGTGATGCCGCAAGTTTGACATCCCTGCCCTAGAGATCCCAACAACTGCCTATGCAACTGTGTTCTGAGCCAGCTGAAGCTTCCAGATACTCTTCAAGGGTAACCTCATGTAAAATGCACTGCAGCAGTCCGTGTGTGAGATGACCAGAGATCCAATGACTGAGTACAGGTACTCCCAATTCAAGGGCACAACTGGTGCACTACACAAAGTTCTGTGATGGGTCTCTTAGCCATGATTGCCAGCTGCTCATTGAGCAAGAGTCATGAGTCCAGGAGAACCCCCAATTGTGCATGGGGTTTGTCTGGGGGAGTGCAACCTCATCCATAACTAAAGATGTTAAAGTCCCAGAACTAGAAGCTCCGCATCTTACAGGGTTTATTGTTCTGCATGCAAGTTCTACATTGTGAAACCAATGCCTCTAATGTCTGACAGCATCTACTGTCATTATTTAAATCAACATTTTTTTTCTGCTGACATTTGTTTACTCCATTTCAACCAACACATTAAATGAACTTTTCTACAGAAAGATCACTGTAGGAGGATGGAAAAATAGATGAAGTGATATTTAAAGAGTCCCAAACACATAAAGATGGGGGAGATATTCAGCTATGACAATTGTTATTTGCCCTTGTGCTGAATTACCTATTGAACTAGTTCCACCAAAGTAGTTTTAATTGTCTAATAAAATGTTTAGGTGTGACACTCACTTAACTGGAATATGTACAAACTTCAAGATACAAGTCTTTATCTCTGTTTGCCGGTTTTCAGACAAATAAAACAAATGTACCTATTCCTTTATTATTTAAATGCTCAAACAAATTATTATAACACTATTAAGTGTTTTCATAACTGAGGACAATATGAAAAAGTGTGCTATCCATGTCTTTCTTGTTTCACTTGAATACAGCAATTTAAGACTCATATAAACATTGTCAACATTAAGTGAGGAAAACAGAAGGGGAAAAGGATCGGCTTTTCTTTCAGGCCAGCATCTATCACCATTTAACATTTCATTTGCACTCACCTGCCTGAAACAGCAGCAGTGTCACCAACCGGTGTTCCATGTGGAAATCGTATCACTCCACTGTGCCTGCACACCTACAGTCTGTTTAGACTCTCCCTGTAGTTCTGCTGTCAAACTGAGCCAAGCAATGGGTGTGTATAAATAATCTTACTGGATACTCTCAGAACTAAATGTATGAATCCATAAATTTCAAACACTTCCTTCTGAGCAAAAAGAGATCATTATTCAGAGGCTGGAAGAAGGGCAGTTCTTGATGGCTGGGCTTCTATTTGCATATAATTCATCAAATCTTGGTAAAAGGGAATTTGACTGAATGTGCTGGACATATTACAACCACAAAGCTGGTGTTCTTTTCCTAAGCTTTTGTTTGCAGTCCCTAACTGACCTCACCATTTGTTTCATAGATCTTAGTGTTAAAGACTTACTTCTGCAACTGGTATTGGCAGCATTTAAACTAATGAACTATTAAAATAAAGATCCTTTGTTTTAATGCTTGAGATTTTAGCAAGCTGTTTAAAATGAAAAACGTGCAGTAGTTCAAAATCTGGTCATATTAGGTTTCCCAATATATCATCCGTGGTTCAACCTTGCCTAGGGACTTCTTGAAATGCCTCACTTTTATTTGGGACTTTCCTTCCTCCATGATAGCCATTTTGTGAAAGGACAAGCCCTCTTCCATGACAGATACCTCAAAGGTCCATATGATTGAATGTTCCAGTCTCCTCTGTCCTGCAACAAAGCTGCAATGTATATCCCCATCTACTCATTGGAGCCAGCTATATGTAATCCATGAATTTTAGCATTCTTCAAATAGAATTATTAATTATTTATTGTTTAAATGACTTGAGGTACTAAAGAAAGTGGGATTAATCTAGTTGATTAATGAAATTTAAACAGAAATGAAAAATACAGTTCTAAAATTGGTGTTCTTCTGCTTCTGTCCTAGTTTAGTAACCCTCACATGAGTCTTCGACAACTCGACACAGCCAGCTTACCACTACCGCTGCCAACTCATCACTATCAAGTCGTCGCAAGATAACTCAACTCTGCCAATTCACTGTGGAGACAACTCATTGCAGATAGTCAGAGGAAGAGGTGGGCAATTGAGCGAGCAGATGGGCAGAATGCAGCGCGGTGGTGGTGACAGGGACCAGCACGGTGGTGGTGACCATTTTCACACACCCCACTGCTGCTGCAGCTGTTTAGTGGCAGCGGTGTTTGGGCTATTTGGGCCAATTGTAGTGAGAGGGACAGGTGGCAGCAGAAGCAGGGCATATCCCATTTTCATACCACCCGGGAAATCGGTGCAGCAGCGGCAGGGTGTGTGAAAATGACAGGCCCACCCACCACCCCCGAATGGCCCAATCATCGCCTCTGCCTCCAAATGGCCCATGGCAGCAGCAGCAGTGGCAGTACATATGTGAAAATGGGAAGCCCCCAGCTGCCACTCTATGCTCTGCCCACCCACTTGCCTGTTTGGTTGTCCCACTAGCTGTCTGCGGTGAGTGGTCCCCACCGTGAATTGGCCATGTTAAGATGTCCTATGACTTGGCAGAGGTGAGTTTGTAGAAGTGACTTGGCAGTGGTGAGCTGGCCGCACTGAGCACCTTGCGCCAAATTGTCACATTCTACCTCACAGAAATATAAATGGCTTAAAAGAATTTTAAAATCAGATTGTTACGGTTGGATCTGAAAATAATAAGTAACCAGTCATCTGAAATTAATATTATATAAGTTTTTACTGGCAACAGGCAATTTGTAATTGCACACACCTTCTTCAGCTCTTTCTGGAACTATCCTAAACTCTGCATTTAAATTACAGGAAATAAATACTCAAGGATGGGTGTGCGTATGTACAAAGCAAAGCTGGAAACTCCTGCAATGACTTGACCCATGAAAAAAATGATTTCCTTAGAATGTGACGTGTATATGTTGAAATATCAAGTCCTTTGATACATGAGGCTAATGCATATCAAAACCAAGGCCCTGGGAAAACTAAAATAGGTTTATTGCAAAAGGGAAAGGATTTCATCCTTGCAATATGAAGTAATAGTACAAATGAGGGTATGGCTATACCCTAAATATATTAATGTGAAAAAGAAAAGGAAAAAAATAACAAAATTAAAATTCTTAGTGAAGTGACTTCTGATATTCATTATAAGTACAAACGAACTTAGTAGTTCTTCACTCCCTATAAAGTAGCCTTACAATCTTTCTCAGAAAATAAAACTGATTACTAATTACAGGCTAGTTCTTCATTCTGAAGTATGGCATTTCCTTAGGTAAAATAGTACTCTAATAAAGCAATAATTGGTAACTAGTTATGTCCCTCATGGCAACGATATTACTTCCTGATAATATGTTCTCTAAATTCCCGAAATGTTCACCAGCCCCAAAAGTTGGTATCTTTGAATTAGATGCAATAAGATGATGACAAAGAAGGAAACAAAGAGAAAGCTGCGATTTTTAAAACACACACACGCCCATGCACACAAAAGAGTAGAATGGACAGATTGGAAGGTGAGACAGAAGAGTTAAGCCTGCTTACGGTGCAACTGAGTCCTGCTTGGAAGCCATTATAAGAAGTCAATTGGTTACCTAGTAACTAGTGGTGGGATTCAAAATTTTTTACTACCGGTTCTGTGGGCGTGGCTTGGTGAGCATAGCAATGCTTGGTGGGTGCTTTGTTTGAAGCGAGGTGAGAAGAGGTGAGACAGTATTAAATAACAATGTCCTTTATTAGGCAAGGCCTCAGGCCATAACAACAGCAAACACCCATTACAGTAGGAACAAATGAACCAGGCAACAATTTCTATCAAGGCTGCTATTTATACAGCAGCTGTCAACACGCACTCATTTCTCCTGCCGGCCAAGCTGTCACTTCACAGCCAATAAGCAACACTTCCATGTTGCTGGGCAGAGGCGTGGCTAATTATGTCACAGTGGGCATGGCAGGGGAAGGATACTGTAAAATCTCCATTCCCTCCCAATCAGCTGGGACTCGGGAGGCAGACAATAGATGGGGCGCGGCCACTCAGAGGTGGTATTTACCAGTTCTCCGAACTACTCAAAATTTCCTCTATCGGTTCTCCAGAACTGGTCAGAACCTGCTGAAACCCACCTCTGCTAGTAATCTCTATATGCATCTATATAGCTGCCTTCTAGAACTGTTCATGTGAATGGACCGAGTGTGGGAAGCAAATTAATGTTATATTAAATACTGCAAAAAATAAAGTATTAAGAACAAAATATCAAAGATATTTTGCCTGTTTTTTATCCACTCACAATGCAGAATTCAGAATAATGGTTTTAAATGACAAGAAATGAGATACTGATTGAATGTTTGGAAAGTGAGTATCTCAGATGATAGTTTCTCTACAATGTTTGGGCTGCCATGCCATGATCAATAACATGGACATAATGTTCTGTAAACTACTATACTCACAATGCACATTCCCAAAACCTCTGATTCATCCCAATTGAGAAAATGAATGTGCATTTTGTCACCCTCAAGATTTGAATAAAACTTGCATTACAGGTTCTGCCTATGTTAGTGGCAGGGGTGAAATCTACTTACCTTCCTTACCGGTTCGGAAGTACACACGCACTTCACATGTGCATGCACACCATGCACATTCTGCATGCAAAGAAGGTAAAAAAATACATTACGTCCTGGTTAAAACCAGGAAGTTACAACACCGGGGCGGGTGGGCGGAGCTTCACTCTGCCATCGCTACCGGATTGCTGAACCACACACCATGATCACTACCGGATCACCCAATCCGGTCCGAACCAGGAGCATTTCACCCCTGGTTAATGGGCCTTACTTTTTCTATGGGGAAAACCTGCCTGCCATGTCTCCTAACTACCAGTTCCCAGTTAATGCTTCTTTTACCTAGTCCTAGCTGAAGGAATGCCTTCAAAGGGAATTTTGCTGGCATACTGCTCACGCAAGATTTGCTGGATTAACATACCTCGCAGCTTGCTAGAACACCATGTGCATTGCTGATTAAGCACTAAAGTGAAAAGAAAACTTGTAAGGTTTTTCAGTGTATTTATAAATAATTTTCAAAAAATACTTGCAGCCATATCTCTAGCAGCCTAATGAGGAGAATGCTTTGCAGATAATCAAATGTGTACAAATATATGTGAACAAGGCATGGGCAATGGGTGTGTGCCTTCCCACTGGGTGGGAACCCTTAAAATGAATATTTTTTTGTGAAGGAAGGGAAAAAGTTGTTTGTTAATTGAAAGAGCAGTGAAAACTCAGTTTGAAACAGAAAGTGAGAATCTGCTGAAGGGTATTTTCTGCAAGGTGTGCAGACAGGCAAGCATACTGTCATCATTCTGAAAGTATTTGAGATCTTCAGTTAATAAGAAAAATGTGAAGAAATTGTGTATTGGTTTTACATTATATGATCAGCAATTTAGCACCTAGAAAGACTGATAGCATGACAGTTAGGATTGGAGTACCAATTTCCCATGTAAGTGATGGATTGCTGTAATGTGTTTGATAAACTGCTTAACAAATTCATTACATCCCTTATTTTGTCGTCGTCCCCCCCCACATACACACAAAATAATATTGCCAAAATTGGCAGAGTTGTTTAGTTATGCTCATGGGGTCAACTGCCCATCCTGAACAAATTTAAGTGCATGATAACAATGCATAATACAGGTCATGATAATTAAACTCTCTTCAGTAAAATCTGTTTCATGTTTTCTCATGGCAACTAATCTAGTAGAAATGTGAACATTTTAAATATGCACACTTGTTTTAGCTGCCACAAACTTAAAATGGATTAACAGTACATGTGTATTTTAAAATAGTTTTTATAGCTATTTGAATTCACTTCAAAGAGTCCTGATAATTACATTATGTATAACATACCATGTGATATAAAAATTAAGGAATTGATATTCCTTAATGTACTTAAGAGCCTAGGTAGTATAGTGATCTAAGGCACCCTGTTATTAAGCTGGTTATTAAGACCAGCTGCCTGCAATTACTGCAGGTTCGAATCTCGCCAAGGCTCAAGGTTGACTCAGCCTTCCATCCTTTCTAAGGTAGGTAAATTGAGGACCCAGTTGTGGGGGCAATAAGCTGACTTTGTATAAGTATACAAAAGAATGAAGGCTATTGCTTAGCGCATTGTAAGCCGCCCTGAGTCTCCAGAGAAGGGCGGCATATAAATCAAATAAAAAAAAAAATTGTTATAATCAGCTTTTTTAGATTTCAAAAAAATGCTTGTATTCCATCTCAAGTTAAACTGTGGGAAAAGATTAATGCCACTAACATTGACAAACGGCTAGTGCTCATCAACAAGTTATATATTAACACTAATTGATGCAATCCACTTGAAAGTCTTTGGCCCAATGCTCTGGCACCCTTATTGTTCAATCCTAGACAAGACTCTCCATAGACCACATTCCCACCTACTCATATTGGTGCAGCAATCCTTATGGATGCATTGCTTTTATCATATGACCAAGTCAGCC